CTCCAGAATCCCTGAGTGTCACAAGTACCTGTTACACACTTCAAAGTCCTTGCTAGCTTCCTAGCCCTTCTCACCTCCCAGGCTTCCCTCCCCCATTTGCTCTCTTTATAATAGCAGGGTTCCACTCCCAGTCTCATTATTCTCTCTCTATTCTCTGTCACTGGTTGTCTTCCCCTCTCTTACAGATATCCTTGGCCTTGTATGGTCTTCTTCTTTCTCTCTCTGTTCTGGACTCTTCCAGACCCTCTAGTTGTTCTTTCTTAGATCTACAATAAAAACATAACCATATCATGGAGTGGTCATGTAGGCAGTTCCTTTATTATACCCCTTCACATGCAAAGATGAGGCACTATGTTCAGTTACTAGTACAAAGGAAAGAAAGATAGATTTCCACACAAGAGATCAGAAAAATAAATAAAAAATAAATAGAAATAAGAAATATATAACAAAAATTTGAAATGAAATTGAAAACAGAAAATCAATAGAAAAAATCAACAAAAGCTGATTCTTTGAAAAACTTCTAGCTTTATTCACCAGGAAAATTAATGGAGAGAACATATATTATCAAAATCAAATATGAGAGAGGAGAAATAACTACAGACTCCATGGGCATTTAAGTAAATACAACGAACGGATCCTTACTTACAAGTTTGATACCCTTGATGAAATGGTTCCATTCTTAGAAGAGCACCATCTGCCAACATCCACACAGAAACAGTCAAGCTCAATAGGCCTATAGCTACTGAAATACAAAGTACTAATTTAGATGTTGTCTAGTTTTGTCTCTGGTTTCTATGGTAAAATATGCTGATGAAGGTGGCTTAAGGGAGGACGGGCTAGTTCAGCTCAGTTATAGCCTGTCATAGCAAGGAAGTCACAGTGGCAGGAACCGGTCATAGCACACCCCAGTCGAGAATACAGAGCAATGTTTGGCATGCACGCTTGTGCTTTGCTTGTTTCTTCCCTCGGTCAATCCAGGACTCCCTGCCAGGGGAATGGTGCCACCTGCAGTGGCAAGATATTCCCATCTCCATTAAGGTTATTTTGATAATCCCTCACAGACAGTGAAAGACCCCCAGAGAACCTCACTCAAGTCTCGGGATAAGCCGACACCCCAATAATTCAAGAGAGACCGTTCTTGATGCAAGCACACGAGGTTTATTGGGGGAACCAGTGCACTGGGGCTGAGCTAGTAACCCTTCCAGGGGCAGAGGAGTTTGACCCCCCAGTAGCTGCAGTTGGGGGTTTTTTAAGGGGAAAAACCATAAAGAATGGGGGAGTTAGGCAAACATAAAGGATGGGGAAGTTAGGTAAACATCATAAAGGATGAGGAAGTTAAATGATAGCTCATGTCTTAGCGGGAGGGTTATAGGTTATCTCAAGCAAGCATTCTTTGGGCTTTGTACAGTTAAACATTGAGCAGGAATGTGGTGAGCTAGTTCCTGGACCAGGGAGGGTTATCTTTTAAGTTTATCTTGAGGTCACCGGTTTCTCAGGAGAGGGCAGAAGGACAAGTTACTCTGTGATGGGCTAGTTGCTAGGGGTCTAAAAATGTTGAGTTGGGGTGTCTCAACAGGTTCACTGCCAATTTAGTGTAGACAATCCCCACTGAGATCCCCTTCCCAGGTGATTTTAGATTGTGTCAAGTCGTCATTTAGACTAGCCCTCACAGATGGGATTACTAGTAAGTTCTCCCACACGTTTAGCATATAAATTGGGCCGGCTTGCTACAATTTCTCTACAGTTTCAGAAGACAGACACAGGGGAAGATCGTTCAAGAAGCTACAATATTAGTTATTTGTTATCACTGTGTAAGATACCCAACAGATTATTCTGGGAGATGTTCCAGAGGTGTCAGTCAGTCATGGTGGCAAGGGAGTGGTATAGGAGAGTGTGCCATGAGGACGAGGAGAATGCAGGAAATGGGGGGATATAAAAAAAGACCTGTCTGGAGGTCCAGAACATCCCTCTCGTCATCCCTGGGGTCTGATGGGCAGAATTTACAGAATGTGTATTTCCAATAATCTTAGGAACCTCCAGTCATGTATTTATTTCCATTGCTACTTCGTAACTGTGATTGTGTTACTGAGCAGTGGCTTAGTCCCAAAGACCATTGGAAAAATCTGTTTTCCGATAGTCACAACCCACAGATTGAGAACCACTGGTGGGACTTTCTGACCCTGCCCATCAGAGAGTCTAGATGTTTTCCTTTTTCATTTTTCTCTCTGCCTTTGGGAGAGTGAACATTTTGCTGCACTGCAGCTGCATCTCACACCTGTTAGGGTACAGCTAATCCTGTCTGCCCATGGCTTTTATAGCTACTGTAATGCTACATTCCCAATTACTGGGCAGGCTGGAAGCAGATGTGTCCACCCGGGCTGAAGTTTTTCTCTGGGCCAGACCCTGTGGAACAGCTGCTGCTTGCTTTCCACACTGGAGACAAAGCCGGCAGAGCTGACAATTAGGAGGAAATCTGTGGAAGTGAGTGGGGTCTGCGTTAAAGCCAGCAAGTGACTCACCAGCCTGGCTTTAAAGAGCTGTGCAAGAGAGCAGCACCCTCTGTGGGCTTTGTATTAGCTTGTTCTTCTGGGTACCTGGCTTCATTCAGTGATGAACTACAATGTAAAAAAAAAAAAAATAAAGAGCTGTGCAAGAAACACCAAAACAGCTGCATGGGAAACCGAGGGAATATGAAGTGACCAGGAACAGAATCATCTACAAGCTGACCGAGGAATTCTGTGCAAAGGGATTTGAACTCTTATTGATAGTGGAAAGATGACAATGACAGTAACACGTAAGTCATCAAATTCTAAGAATTATTTGGCACGAGGACAGTGTGAAGGCTGCTATTCAAATTCAGCAGCTGCAGTGTTTGACTGACAGCGACTTGGACATCAAGGTCACTTCAGCAGCACTAGCTTTCTCCTTCCTGACAGCCACAGGGGAGTTGCTCCCTGAACCTAGAGTGGGAGCATATGGAGCCGATGATACCTTTGTTTGTGCCTTTTTGAGTGCCAGACGTAAAATAGAAGCTATCATTTTGATACAAGGATCTGAAATTTAGGACACACCCTGCTGAGGGTAAAAGGTGCCCATAGATCTGCCCTAGAAGTCATGCGCTGCAGCTAAGGGGAGGCAAGACAAAAGCTCCCTGAGCTTGTCAACCGTTCCAACTGAAATGCTGTGCATGGGTGGGATCCAGAGAGATGGGCTCACAGCACAGGAAGAGGTAAACACTACAGTGTCTGCAGGAAGGGGCAGTGGAGAGATGAGCAGCTTGTCCTCTGCGCTCACTCAGGCTCACCACCCAGATGCCCGTTTGTGTTGCAAATGTGAGATCCAATGGAGTGAAAAGATCAGTTTACGAAGCCTTTCACTTCTTCCCGTGATCCCGTGGTCTGGCCAATCCCATATTCTCCATCTCCCTCTTCACCTTTCCTCCCTCCCTCCCTCCCTCCCTCCCTCCCTCCCTCCCTCCCTCCCTCCCTCCCTCCCTCCCTCCCTCCCTCCCTCCCTCTCTCTCTCTCTCTCTCTCTCTCTCTCTCTCTCTCTCTCTCGTTCTCACTCCATGTTCTTACGGGACCATGGGGGCTCTGACGGGCTAGCTCTCTGCCTTGGTAATCTCAGGCCGCTCTTCCTGATTGTGGAAAGGGCAGCCTCAGGGACTCTGAATGACTAGACTCGGTGATGCATCCACAGATGTTCTGGTTTAGCTTTCTCGCATCTTCTGCCAACTTCTTTAAGAGTGTTTTATGACGGCTTTCTTTCCTGGCATCAGCTAAGAAACAAATAAATGACAGACATTTTCCCAAGAGGCAAGTGCAGCCACCTGGACAGCAGTACCTGCCAACACCTTGGCTGCCAATCTCAGGTCGTGGATTGAGAAAGAAAGAGTGAAGGAATGTGGCAGGTAGACCCTATGGGGTCACAGAAGCTCCTGTGGGAAGGCATCCTGGGACGTGACTGGCACGTTATCTGATAAGAAAATTCAAACCTAAAGCAGAGAGAGAAACTCCCACACAGCCAAAGGGTGAAAACAGGCAGGAAGAAGGCAGCTTGTGCGAGGGTTCTTTGCCCATGACCCAATTATCCACTTGGCTTTCTAAAGCTCAGGATGCACTCAGTGAGTAGGAGGATGTGGCGGATGCAGAGAGAGTTGCTGTGTTTTCTTCATTTTTCATTCATTCACACATTCCTTCAGTGAGCCTTCCTAAGCACACTCTGGGTTCAGGGACTGGGCACGGAAGGATGAAAGGATTTGGGGTCCTTCCTCAGAGCAGGGCACTGGGTTGATCTAACTGGGCGGGCAGAGATGGAGCTGGCCAGTGCTGACAGACTGGAAGACGGACAGCCAAGGCAGAGGTGGGTTACATCCTACAGACTTACAGAACCCATTCTTGGAACGGTTTGTAGGTGATCCTTGAGGGCGACCTCGAGGTTTGCTGGATGAGAACGCCAGGGGAGGAGAAGACAGATTGTGCATCGCTGAAAGTGGAGACATTTTCCAGGTGATTTGCAGAGTAGAAAGTGGTTCATTGGGCTGCTGGGGCTGATGTTGGAAACACACAGGTGCTATTACATGGGAATTAAGTGTGTATTCCTTTGGCTTGAGGCTGTTTCCTGCATTTAAAATCTGTCAAGGATATGCTGTGCACATGTCAGCAATTTATACCTCAGGGACAAGAAATCTGTGAGATCCCATTTTGAGCTGACATTTGATAGGTCTGAGGTTAGGTAGAGTTGAAGGATAGTGTTGCAGTTGGGACCATTGTGGAAACAGATGCGGGCCCAGAGTCCCTGCTCACAGGGGTTACTGGGGAGGTGCCTCCATTAAATGGAAGAGAGGAAGAAACAGACATGGGAAGGCAAGGAGAGCTATGAGGGAGTGCTGAGGACTCCCAAGGTCTAATGAGGTCAGATCACCCCGGTGACTAGAGTGCTGGAGGTCTGGGAAGGGTCTACTCTGGGACTCAAACCTATCCCGGTCCTCTGCAGGAATCTGAGGATGCTTCTTCGGGTTTCAGGCTGGAGCCATCTGAATGTCACAATACAAGACCTGACAACCATGACCAGCAACAGACGTGGGCCACATGGGTCTGGGACTTGGAACAAGCTTTGCATCCACGTGGCAGAGCAAGACTGGGATTAGGGGACTGCATGTGGGTGCAGCCTCCATCTCTGGCCTAGTGTTCATCCCTGCGTTCCTTTTTATATAAGAGAAGTTTTAATTATAGATCTGTTAGGAATGTGCCACGCTCATGTCAGACATGCTCTGACATGAAGAATTCTGACAGCTGTTGCGATCTTAAGTTAGTTAATGAGATGAAATGTCTTCAAAGAACTCTGTGGAAACTGCTCCTGAATAGCTGGCACAGTGCCTGTAGCTCAGGGTGATGGGGTGCCCCTGTGGGCCTCCTCCACACTTTCCTCCTACCCCCTCCCCCAGCCGAATGCTGGGTTCTTCTATTTCTAAGCTTTCTGTTTGACGCTCATGTGTATCATGTGAGGCAGACAGTGCACATTTTAATTGGGTCCACCAGCAAGGCTGAATGATTAAGGACGTGGGATCGAGCTGTGCACCGCCAGCAACTCGATTCCTTTTAAACAGCTGTCTAGAGGAGCTCATTCATCTTGTGTGTTGAATGATGTTCTTGTGTGACTGTCCTTCCTTAGCCAGTGGGCTCTATCTGTAATGCTCGCATATGAAAAAATGGTCCACTCTTTCCACTCAGAGCCTCTGCTGGGCTTTCCTTTCTGTCACTTTGGTTTGATTTGACCGAGAGCTGTTCTGGTCATCCTGCCATTGCTCCCACATATGGGCCTAGGGTTTTTTTTTCTTTTGTGGAAAGGCCATGTTGTAGAGTCCATGCAGGCTCTGTTCATGGAGAGGCGAACTTTCATCAAATTCCCAAGCGGTTAGACCACGTTTCCCTCACGTGAAACGTGAACAGTCCCCGAGGCTCCATGTCCTCACTGGTTCTGGGTGTTCTCAGAGCTTCACTATCTTGCCAGTATGATGGCTCAAAATTGCAGTGGATTGTGCATCTAGTTTATATTTCTCTGGTTACTAGGCAACCTCTTGAGGATGATTAGAGTATCTGCCTTTGCCTAACCAGATCCTGTAGAGCAGACAGAAGAGAAGGGAGCACAGAGTAAGGGAGGCAGAGACTGGCCACAGCACTGTCATCTGCCTTTTAATCTTGTTGCCATGGGATTCAAGCTCCTATTCTGAAGAACTACATCCATTCCGGCTGGTTCAAGGGGTTTCTGTCCTCTAGGCATTTCCTATGGAAACCTTGGACTCTGGAGGACTTAGATTTGAATGTTTTCCCTAACAACTTAGACCACCAAATATCGGCAGGAGAAGGATACAGGACTCTGAGTCTTGGGAGAGCTCAAGGCTGTAGCTGTGGACAGATTTCAAGCAGCTAGACTCTGCCGAGTGCAGCACATGGGCTGAGACCCTTAGCCTCTTCACTTGTCTCTAGGACTCCTCCACCTCTCCGCCCTCACTGATCACCTTGATCAGATAGGATGCTGGGAGACCTAGACCGAGCCTCCTTATTTGATTAAAAAGTTACCTATATGAGTTTGACAATAGTTTGGTAGAAGCTGCCAGGGAGGGTCTCACTTCATGGAATTGGTCTGAGGACTTCTGTTCAGGAATCCCCCATAAACAATACAATTAACCTTTACTATCCAAAGGTTCTAGGACCTTCTGCAGGGACTCGGTCCATGAAATGATGTAATATACATGCTCCCCCCCACCCCCGCAGCTTTGTTGTTGATTGATCGTCAGTGTGTGTGTGTGTGTGTGTGTGTGTGTGTGTGTGTGTGATTAAGAGCATGTGAAGGTTAAAGGACAACCTCAGGACTTGACTCCATCTTCCAACTTGTTTGACAGACCCTCTTTATTGTCCTTTCATGGGTATAAAAGGCTCTGGCCCAGGAGCTCCTGGGGTTTTGTTGCCTCTGCCTCTCATTTGTCCTAGAAGCACTGAGATTAAAGATGTGTGTGCCTTTAATGTTGGTTCTGGAGATTTAAATTCACGTCTTGCTTGCACAGCAAGTACTTTGCCCCAGTCCTTATTTTTTAAAAAACTGATACTTCAAAAGGAAAAGAAATTGTGTAAATTAGCAAGGCACTACGTTTTAATACATTAAATTAAATATAGTTATATTCTCAAACACTTTATTTTTCTTTATGTCAAAATCATTTCTTCTGGCTTCTTGAGACATAAAGTACTCAATCCCCATCTCTTGGGCAACAGCATCCCAGAAGTTCCTCCTATCTAGCAGGACCTGAGTACTCATTAATCAGCCATCCTCATCCTTCTCTCGCCATTTCCACTCTTACGGCGAGGCTTCCAGTAAGTTCTAGGCGGCTTATGGCATGAATACTGTGGAACAGGTGTAGTTCAGGACCGACTGTGAAGTTCTGTCTAGATGGTTGACCTGATCTCATCAGGGAACATTTAGAACAGTTGTAGAATACCACTTGGAGTGTGTCTATGGGGGGGTTTCTAGATACGATTAATTGAGGGGTGTGGGGGAAGGACCCCTGAATGTGGGAGGTACCATCATAAAAGCAGGGGTCATATGGAGTGAAAGAGAGAAGAGGAAAAAGCATTTCCACTCTTTGCTTCTTGGTCACTGAGATGTGAGCATTTGCCTACCAGGCTCTCCCACAGGATGGAGAGCTATCTTCAAAGCTGTGAGCCAAAAGGGATAATTTCTCCTTTCGATTGTTTCCCCAAGTGTCTTCTAACAACAGCTCATAGCTGAGTAACACAGACAGAACATTTCGTTATGGATGCTTTGACTGTAGCTGATTGAACTCAAGGCTGTAGAATCCTTGACATGGAACGAACAAGAGCAGCTAGCATAAAGCAAATCTATGTTTCGTTTGCCCAGGATTTAAGACTAGTAACTTCTTAGTACAGGAGCCATAGTGGTGGGTACCAGAGTCTCTTGTGTCCTGTACTTTACACTGTCCTGGGTACACCTGGCTGCCACTCATTAAGTACAGAATCAAGCACATTGCTTCTGAGACTATTTAGCAAGGAGATTAAAGCCAGGCAGTGGGTAGGACCCAGTTGCAAGGAAGCAGTTCCAGTGAACAGGAAGGCCAGTGTATGTTTGGGGCAGAGGTGACCATGTGAACAGGGCCCTGGACGTGAACTTCCATGATTAGACAGCTAGAGAGACTGGTATCTACACTGCGGTAGAAGCTGGTGGTCCCAGAGCGCACAGGTTGCCTGGGTGTCCCTAGCTGAGAGCTAGAGCATGGAAGCAGCGTCCCTTCTTTCATCTTGGGACAGTATTCTGGGATGAGATGTAGTGATATATCAGGAATGTTTTCCTGCACGCAACAGGGAGTACAGGGATGTACAGGGATGGAGGGGAGTCTCCTCAGAAGGACAGGAAAGTCAAGTCACTACACCCGGGACAAGCCCTCTCAGCACCTCCCAGCCCATCCAGTCCCTGCTGATATCCCATCCGTGTGTCCCCACACAGCTCTAGGAACTCATGCTGCAGAGCCTGTGAGGGTGCAGGGGCAGGGAGGAGGAGGGTGCCACATACCTTTGACTGTCTCAGGGATCTGTGGCTCTCTACTCCCCCTGACTGGGGTCTGGAGAGGCATGTGGAATCTGGGCTCAGAGATGCTTATGAATCTTACACATGCCCACTGCAAACAAAATAAAATTAAAGATGCATGTAAGCTTTTGAAGTCTTTGGATCACTCCCCAATATCTGTATCTTACATATTGGGATGCACTCAGTGAATTGCATTAAATGAGGAAAATGACTTGAACGTAAGATTTCTGAAGATGTTTGATTAGAACGAGGTTGAAAATAACAAAAAACCTCCCCTGGTCATCTCCATTTGTTCCAGGATGGTCTCTCCACTGAATATGGAACAGCTTCCGTTGAAACTGCCTGATCTGTCCTGGAAAGTAGAAGCATGGGTGTACACTTGAGGATGCATGGGTAGAGAGTCCAGGCTTGATATGGAGCATGGCGTGTCATTTCAAGGGCAAGCGGATTTCCCTTTATGTGAGGAGGAGAAACTGAAGAATAGTGTGAGAAGGGGCTCAGGTAATAACCTGTGTTCAGATCAAGCATCGTAGGAACTGGCAAACAATATCCATTGGTGACGGGGATGCAGCTGCTGCCCCTGGCGGTACTTGCACCCTGGGCATCGTGAAATTCAGAGAAGACTTCCGGTCCCGAGTTTAAAAGTGCGGAGCAGAAAGCTGGGTCGGGGTCCAGATCCGAAGTCGCCAGTCTAGGCCACTCTTGCAGTTGGATAATGGGAAGCTGTGCTGCTTTTCTTTTTCTTACACGACAGCTGTCTCTCACAGGGTTTGCTGTCACAGCAGTGGAACCGTTCTGTGTCCACAGAGAGGATTCCATGAGGCTGCCTCTGACCACTCACACGGCGACCACGGCGTGCACATAGGAGGCCTCCCCTCTAAGGTACTGCAGTTCTCTGGCAGCCAGCCTCCTGTTCTCACAGACTCTCTGAGCTTCCCAGCGCCCTACGGGCTCCTCCGTTCACTGACGCCTCTATTTAAGCCCCCGAAGTGCTCATCCCTTGTAAGAGTAGGGTCTCACGCTACCGGCGGGCGGTATCCACCCTCTTTTATCTATCCCGTCCATTGTCCGTCTGCATGCAGCCTCTGAGCTCACCCCATTCTTTGTTCTGTTGAGGGCACCCCAGGATTTCCCATCAGACTTCTTCCCTCCCCTATCTCCTCATTATTCCACTCCCAGACTCTTTCTTCCCACCCTCTAACTGCCTCTGGTCAGTCTGAGGCTATCAAAAACGTCCAGTTTGGAGTTTAACTAGCCAGAGATGTGTCCTCTTCAGGCCACTTTGTAGCTGGACAACTTTGTGTTTACCCTAATATTTATTTGTCAAGGAGTTCTGTAACCATACAGAGGTTACGAAAAAACACACCCCATAACTGATTCATTGTCTGTGACAGCAATGCCAATTTCCCTGTCAATCACTGGTAAGGTGACACCCTCCTTCAAGATAAGAATTCACCTGCTCTAGGATAGTCTTTTTAAAATTCAAACCAAAGCAAAACACCCTACTAAAATGAGAAGAGGTGTTTCTGCTTTGATCCGGCAGATGGCAGTGTTGAAATAAGAATGTCACAGTTTCTCCAGCTCTGTGGAGACAGAATTTGTTCAAGAAATCCCAAATAAAATGAATGTTGTCTACTCCTTGCTGGAGAGTACTTGTGTGCATGATGAAGAAGACATGCTTTCCCACAAGCCATTAATGCAGACTTCTCCTAGGTTCCTGGAAAATGCTGGCAAAATGCAGCACACACCCTTCCTGGCCCAGGTCAAAGTCCTCCAGTTTCCCATTACCTGAGGCCTCCAGGCTGATGGTCTCTGAGGTTTTCTAATAGACATCTTCCCCTAGTTCATCCCATCATTTTCCTGGAAGAACGAACAAAGAGGCACGGTGTCTCTGGCTGTGGTGATGACTGGGATTAGGCCTGTCAGGTGGGAGAGGGTTAGGGTTACTTTCTTGACAAAGAACGGAAAACATCTGGTGTGGACTTGCTTCTACCCAGCTGCTGTGGAAGGTCGGAGGTGGAGGGGACTCAGGGGCCATTCTTCCGGCTCATGCCGCCCTTCCGGCTCATGCCGCCCTAGAGAATGGAGCTCTGCTCAGGTGAACGGATGCAGATCAGGGCTCCCTGCCCCCTCCTGTCCGCTGCTTTCCTTGTCTCTGCACACGCTTCATTGCTTACAACAAGGAGGCCCAGGTGTGTGAGGGCTTCTTGTGAGCAGGGTTACATTGCGTCCTCCGCGGTGGATTTATGCATTCTGTGTCTCATGAAGAGAGAGGCCCCTTGCTTCCAGCCATGAAGATTACACAGTCTCCTGCCACCACAGCTGCAGGGGCTAAGCTAGCTTGCATTTGGGGACATGCACTTTGCCTCTCTTCAGTGCATACACGGGGCACCTCAAAGTTCAGCCTTCACTTCAACCTACACCCAGCGTATGTCCTGCAAATACAGTGGTTCCTAGGCGTTCATGCTGGTCCTACTGTCGTAACGGAAATGATCTAAAGCCAAGCAGTGTGGTAACCCTGCACCCATAGCGGAGCGTGCTCTGGTGCTGCTCAGGCAGGAAACTTCATCAAAGTCCCCCGAATCTCTCTCCATCTTCAGAGAATCCATGCGTGTGGAGTTAAATTAGACATGAGCTGTTTCCTTCCCCTCCTCAGCACTGAGCCTCTCACCATCGTCTTCCTGGAAACGCACGCTCCCCTCCTCCCCCTGCTCCCCCCCGCTCCCCCTGCTCCCCCGCTCCCCCTGCTCCCCCTACTCCTCCTGCTCCCCCTATTCCTCCTGCTCCCCTGCTCCCCCTGCTCCCCCTGCTCCTCCTGCTCCCCCTGCTCCCCCTGCTCCTCCTGCTCCCCCTACTCCCCCTGCTCCCCTTGCTCCCCCTGTTCCCCCTACTCCTCCTGCTCCCCCTGCTCCCCCTGCTCCTCCTGCTCCCCCTACTCCTCCTGCTCCCCCTGCTCCCCCTACTCCTCCTGCTCCCCCTGCTCCCCCTGCTCCCCCTGCTCCTCCTGCTCCTGCTCCCCTACTCCTCCTGCTCCCCCTATTCCTCCTGCTCCCCCTGCTCCCCCTGCTCCTCCTGCTCCCCCTGCTCCCCCTGCTCCTCCTGCTCCCCCTGCTCCCCCTGCTCCTCCTGCTCCCCTGCTCCTCCTGCTCCCCCTGTTCCCCCTACTCCTCCTGCTCCCCCTGCTCCCCCTGCTCCCCCTGCTCCCCCTGCTCCCCCTGCTCCCCCTGCTCCCCCTGCTCCTCCTGCTCCCCCTACTCCTCCTGCTCCCCCTGCCCCAGATTACACTTTCTTCTGTCAGCGCTCCTAACAGTCACTCTCATGATATTCCCTGCATCCTTTCCATTTTGGGGGCCCATTATGTGCTTTAGAAATGCTTCCCTATTTACATCCTCACTCTTACAGCAGGGACAGTCTCAATCTTGTCATCGCAGGGCTCCGAGAGGGCACAGTGCAGGGCAGGGAGCTGCAGGACCTGTGTCTGTTGGACTGGCCCTAGATTAGCTGTGTGTGTATGAGGAGGTGTCCAAGTGAGACTGTCGGGTGAACTGGCAGACTCATTAGAGCAGTTTCCCTCATGAGGAATTGCTGGTGTCACCCAGCCTTGCAGAGGCCTGAGAGGAAGCCTGGTGTCCTATCTCTGTGCGGAGCAGGGCTCTCTTGTCTCTTGCCCTCGGGCTGAGATTTACTTGGCCATCTCTCTGGCCCCCATACTTCTGCATGTAGACTGGAAACCAGCATATGTTTCTGTGTCTCCAGTTTGTCAGCTGCAGAGTTCCAAGGCTGGAGGAGAGCCAACGCCTCATGGTAAAGTCTTTACATTAAATACATTCATGAAGACTTGACCAGCTGGGTATAGAGAAGGGTTGACATGTATGAGGCATGTGTATGATTTCTCTGCAAAAACTGTTTTCACAGGTGTTATTTGAATCATTGGATGTTGATACACATATATGGGAGAGCTCATTTCTGAAATAAGGGATCTTCGATGGTTACTGAAGGATGGCTGCATATATGCAAACATGCTTAAATGTGTGTATACACATGCACATTGCACACCTGTAAGGATGTGTATGGAGCTATATTCTATTATTTTGTCTTTTATGACCCCAATTCACACAACAAAATAGATGATATAAAGCATAAGTTTTGTTCTGACAAGGTCCTGGAAGACTACACCCACTTGTTTACAGTCCTTCCTTCCAGGACCTGGATACTTGCACAATGGCCCAAGGATCGATGCTGGCCACATGGGGTACAACTAGTGGAAAACTGCTTCCTCTGGTAAAATGAGCTGACCTGTTTATGTTTTACAAAGTTTTACTCTCACACCGCTTTCTCCCTGTAGTTTGTGCAGCATGGTCCCCTAGAACACGCCACTCAATAGCAAGACCTCTGAGAGGAATTTGTCACCCAGGCCAAGAATAAAGTAAGGGCCAGATGGGCTTATGCAGCCTTTCTAATTTCTGTTTGGGTGTTTAATTTTCTATTTACAGCTTTGTTCTATATGACTTTAAAATGTTACTCTTTCCTCCAGGCATTCACTATATATTATGTGTTGAACTATGTGAACTAAGGTACTGAAGTCTCGAGGCCCCCGTATCTGTGGATGTGATCTCATTAGGAACCACTCTTTGGAGATGATCTGATGGCGATGCGACCTAGGAGGACCCGTCCCCCAGTGTGACTCAGTCCTTCTGTTAGGAGAAGGTATGCATGAAGGGACATGAAGTGAGCCCCTGTAAGCACCACAGAGTAAAGTCCGCTGTGTATCCTGTCCTGGAGTCCTAACAAACCTGTCGCTCTACCCTCGTTTCATTTCCACCCATTAGGCCATTTGGCTTCCAGTCCTTCATTGGGCAGACACTATCATTTCTTACCAGCCATTCCTGTGGGCAGTAGGCTGTGGGAAGGGGCCCATCTCACACAGCAGACATGACTTGATATCTAACTCAAAGGATGGAGCTGCCTTCAGCTTCTAGTCATAGTTATGTCTCCTTTGATATCTCACCTTAGCAAGAATTTGAACTTCCTGAAAGACCGGGGCGGGAAAGCAGCGACCATGTCCTATACATTTGTATTCATCCGCGTACAGAGGAGACCCAGACTTCTCAGCGCCACTTTCTCAAGGCACCATCTCTTCCCTAGTGTGTGTTGTTGACATCTTTGCAGAAAATCATTGCTGTAACTCTGTGGGTTTATTTTCTGGCTTTTTATTCCATTCCCATTGGTTTTATGCAGAGACCACGCTGCTTTGGTTGCTAGCTAGCACTTTGTAATATATTCTGAAGTTCTTTTTGCTCAAGATTGCTTAGTTTACTTCAGTTCTTCTTCTGCTTGCATATGAACTTGAGGAATTTTCTCTTACAGAACATTGTTGCTGTTTTTTTTGGGGCGTTAAGGGAGTGACATTGAGTCTGCAGATCTCTCCACCCACTGTGGGCATTTCCTAATCATAGTTCTTCTAGTTCACAAACTTGGGAATTACTTTCTCTTTATCTGTATCTACATTATTTTCTTTTGCCAAGGCTGGCTAGTCATCATTACAAATATCTTGTCTGCATTAAACTGGCTCCTAAGTATATTGTAGCTGCTGTAATTGGGTGGCTCTTAAATTTTTATTTCTATAGAGAGCTGTCCATTTATATACAAAAATGTTGGTAATTTGTATGTACAGACTTTGTGTCCTGAAGCTTTTCTCATCTAATCTGTTCCTGTCTTCCCCCATCAGTTTCCTGAGGAGTTGAGATGGAAGACACCTGCCATCACCCCTGGCAAAACTACTCTTGACCTTTTCATTGATCACTACTTGTTCAATGTCCATGCATTTGCAAATGATGCTTTAGATGATCTCGGTTTTTAATATTCTCAAGCTTATTTCGTGATCTAGTATTTGTGCTTGAGAATATGATCGATCTATAGTTAAGAAAAATGGCATGTGTTGGATAGAATGTTCTATGATTGTCTGTGAGGTCCATTTGGTGTGGGGTATGATTAATGGCTAATTTTCTTTTGCCATATTTCTGCCTGGATCTGTCTACTACAGAAACCAGTGTTAAACACTCCCTTGTTTGTGCCATGCAATCTATCACTAGGTCTCTTCAGTCTAGCATTGGGTGTCCAAGCCAGTAGACAACAGAAAGAAATAAAAGTCCTCTAAGAACTGACAAAGAATGAGTCAAATAGCTCCTGTTTGCAGACCACATAGTACAGAAAATCCTAACAACCCCACCAAAAAACTATTAAAACCAACAGACTAGATCAGAAAAGCCAATTATATTTTACTTTATATCTTTCTTCTGAAATGTCTTTCTGTCTTAAGGTTTCTGTTGCTATGATGAAACACTGTGACTAAAATCAGCTCGGGAGACAAAGGATTTATTTCATCTTACACTTAGTGGCCTATCATGCAGAAAGATGAGGGCAGGCACTCAGTGTGGGAATCTGAAGGCAGGACCTGATACAGAGGCCATGAGGGAGTGCTGCTTACTGCTTATTGGCTTGCTCGGTTTGCTTTCTTTTACACCCTAGAACTACCTGCCTAGGAGTGGTGTTGGGAGCTATCATTGTTGTTTAGAACCTCTTGTAAAATTTGTCAGTCTTTTTAAAGAATAGTCCGTCCCCTCCCCAGCTTCCTAACGAATAGAACCTGGGCTCACAGAAATAGCTGATAGCAATCTACAGTTAGGTTACTTAACCCTCCTTCTTGCAATTAGGTTAGCATCTCCCACATCGATTATCAGTGATGGAAAAGGACCATAGGCTTGCCCATAGGCCAATTTTATGAAGGCATTTTCAATTGTCGTTGCCTCTTCTCGGCTAGTTGTAGCCTATTCCCTGAAAACTAGCCAACACAATTGACCGCTTGTCAACCTAACACAAAAACACACTACTATTCAACTATATCCTTTCCTTTCTTGTTCATTCCCATGATCTCATATTCCAAACTGAAGCACATAATAACTTTGAAAGTCCTAGTCTTTAAAAATTCAGTCTCTTTAAAACATCCAAAGCCTATTTTAACATTCAGAGCCTCTCCAAAATATCCAAAGCATCTCTAAAATATCTGGTCTCTCTAAAATTCCAAAGTCTCTCTAAAACACCAGAGTCTTTAAAAGGTTTTAAACTCTCTCAACTATGGTTTTGCAAAATAAAAGATAAGCTACCTATTTTCCTACTCTAAGAGGAAGGCCCAGGGCACAGTCACAACTGAATCAAAGCAGTTGTCCTTCTGTCTTGACAACATCTCTAAACATTTCTTTCAGAGATTTGTTGCCTAAAGGCTCCCTCAGTTTATTTGTCTGAGAAAGCCTTTTACTTTTTTGTATTTCACTTGTTTTGAGACAGGGCCTCACCTCCTGCCTCAGTTTCCCAAGTGCTGGGATTACAGGTCAGTGCCACTATGCCCTGCTCTAAGGAAGTCTCTGTTGGTTTTAAAGAACTTATACCCAGCATGTTGTACATTGGTGTTTCTTTTCCCCCTTTCCATGCTGTAAATATATTTCACTCCATTTTTTACTTGTATGTTTCTATCACCACTAAAAGGAAAATCTTCTTTTGTTTTTTTATAGGTTTCTTCTTCCTTGGTTGATTTTGAGATTTTCCTTTTCATTTGGTCATCCACAGTCTAAATATGTAAATTTGTGGTAATTATTCTGCTCTTTGCTCTCTGAACTTCCTAGATCTACAATTTGCTTTTTGTCATTAATTTTAGAAAATCCTTAGTCATTATTACTTCAAATTTTCTTCTGATCTATTTTTTTTTCCTTTTCCCTTCTGGCATGCCAATTATGCATGTGGTACTCATTTTGAAGTTGTTCCATAGTTCTAGAATGTTCTAATTTTTTCATTCATTTTCCCCCCTCAGTATTTTGGATGATGGAGTTTCCATTGAGTTACGTTTAATGTTGTTGACTCTTTTTAGTCATGTCCAGTCTTCTGAGGAGCTCTCGGGCGTTTACAATTATACGAATGATCTTACTTTCCATTACTGATTTTTGATTCTCTCTTAGGCTTTCTGTCTGTCATCTTTCTTGATTGTCTGATACAGATGGTGTGCTCCTCTTATGGTGCCAATTAGTTATTTTAAATTCTCCATCTCATAGTTACCCAACCTGTGGCTTACTTGAATTCAGTTCTACTGACTGCTTAATTTTCTTGGGTGTGTTTTTCTTCTGACTTTATTCAGCCTTGTAATTGTGTTATTGCTGTGGAGCCCAACAGGACCTATTGGGGGTAATCAGCATTGAGGTAAATAGGCGAGAGCCCTACAGGTGTGTGGTCATTCTTTGCCCTGAGCACTTTGAGTGACTGCCATTCAGGAAGGCAAAAGAGGACTGGCCATGTATGCTGATAAAATGCGAAGATGAAGACGTATTAGGAGAGGCTTTGGGAGGAAGGTCATGAGCTCAGATCCACTCATGTCTTCTTTTCCAACCCTATTCCTTGATAGGACGCACAGGAACATGCTTATGAGTGGGAAGGATGAAATGAACAGCAGAGTGGACATTCTGATGCTCGCAGACACGTTCAGCTCGTGCTGCACATGTGGATCTCAAGCTATATCCAAGGAGACTCCGGGGTCTAAAGACTGGAACCTCGGCAGGGGCCCGGGGCGGCTTGGCTTTAACTTCACTTGCGCTGTCGATGCTGGCACACAGTGTCCCCGCTCTGTGAGCTTGCTTCCTTCCTCTTCCCAGCTTTGGCTTTCCTGTGTGTCTAGCTAAGTTTCTTTATCTTTCCACGCTATTTGGGGAAAGCTGTTTTGTGTCTAAGCAGTACTCTTTTGAAGCTGTTCAAGACCTTCAGATCTTGCTGGTTCTTGCATGCAAGCATAGGGTGCAACCCTTGAGTTTTGTTGTGTCCTTGGACTCCAACTAGGGACGGGGAAGGGAGGTCCCATAAAGCTAGCCCTGCCTTTGACTCCCGAGGCCTGTATAAAGAATGCTGGTTCCCTCTCTGGTCTGCCTCGGAGTGGACACCGGACTCCCTTTGCTTCCTCACTTTTTTTCCCCTCTTGTGATTTTGGGGGGGTTCATTTCCTTTTCTGGAATGCAGGGAGGGAGGGTCCTGGCATGTTGCCATTTCTAGATGTGTATAGCAGACCATTTTAAGAAACCCTGGATGCCAAATGCCACAGGTGTTCATCTATGCAAGATGAAGGAGTCTCTCCAATCCTCCCATATCTGTAAATCTCTCTCTACATCATTTATAAAAACTAATGCAATCCAGATGCTGTGGAAATTGTTGGACTCTTCAGTGAATAACGATTGGACAGAAGTCTGGATATGTCCAGGACAGATACAATTGAGACATTCACACTTGATTGAATTGTCCATTAAGAGGCCAGCTCTACAGGGAATAATTTGTTGACTTTTGAGATCTCAAATCCAATGGTGACTTCTGTGTGCTGTGCTAACAAACTTTTCCTCCACATAAAAAAGTGGATCTCTTTCTAATCTGAACAGCAAAAGTGGTCCTGACGTCTTGTGGAAACATTTCTGTTGAGATACAAACCTTTCATCTTGGAGGGAAGTTCTAAGACACTGGATGTTCTGAGGGGCAGTAGAACCTTTCAGCCTTCAAGCCTGCTGCTCAGGAAGTAAGCAGCCCTAAGGCACTAGGAAGTCACCGGCTTTACCAGATATACTAGCCTTCCCCCAAGCCTATATCAGATGTAAAGACTGCTGAACCGCCTAGAAGAGGCCCAGACCAACTGACCTCCCTGGAAAAGATGCCTTCCAAGCTGCAAGCCACCTGCAGGCGGCTGTGCAGTGAGCTCCAGGTTCCCAGGTTTGGTGAGCTGTCAGGTGAGCTGGGGTGGGCCTTGGCCATGGAGATGTCACTGAGGCATTCTTGTTCCTCTGAGGGGTTACCTCCTGTACTCCTGTAAGTAGCCCCAGTAAAATGCAATGGTTCACCCAGTTGGGTTTTGGTGGTATCCTTACTTCAGTCTGTGGTTGGCTCTCTGTCTGTGTGGAGCAGACATTTATTCATGTCTTCTGGGGACAGTGTCACATAATGTGAGGAAGCATTGGGAATGAAATGTTCTTGCAGTAACCCAGAAAAAGGTATTCTTTGTCTTTGACAAGTGTGTTGCTACGACGACTAGGACATTAAAATACTTGAAATGCCACATTGTTGGGAGAACAAAGAGCACAGGCCATCCAGTGTAGACATGCATGGAGAAGGTAATGATGCTTTCAGATTTCGCTGGCTCGTTATTTTCATTGCTGAGATGGAGTAAATAATTGTGGGAAATGCAATGCCACAGAAAGGCTAGCCATTAGAAAACAAAGCTGAGTTTGGATCAGGGCGAAACTATTCAGTCTTGACCTACAGCCTCCCGGCACTTCTTGGCCCTCTACAGAATGATAATAAAAATGTTTGCTGAACATTTCATTATTTGTTTTCTTTGTAAAGGTATCAGGACTCTTTCTGTCTAGAACAGTGTTTCTCAACCTTCCTAATGCTGCAGTTCTTTAATAGAGTTCCTCATGTGATGATCCCCAACCATAAAATTACTTCCTTGCTACTTCATAATTGTAATTTTACTACTGTTATGAATCATAATGCAAATACCTGTGTTCTCCAGTGGTCTTAGGCAACCCCTGTGAAAGGGTCATTCGGGCCCAAAAGGTCATGACCCACAGGTAGAGAACCACTGATCTAGACTGTTATAAATGAAGCACTATGACCAGGGCTGGCTCAGCAGGTAAGACCACCTACTGCTCTTGAGGAGGGCCTGGCTGTGCTTCTAACACACGGGCCAGACAGCTCCTGATTGCCTTTAACCCAATTCCTGAGATGGGTGATCTCTCTGGACTTGCAGAACTTACACTCACATGTACACACATGCACATGCACACACTCACATGTACACATATGCACGCACACACTCACATGTACACACATGTGCACACACACTCACATGTACACACGCACATACACACTCAACATGTACACGCATATGCACACATACTCACATGCACACACAGTCACATATACACTCACATGTACACACACACACTCACAAATATAAACACACACTTGCATGTATAAATACAAATTAAATAATACCTTTTTAAGCAAACTTCTAGGAGCATTCTTATTGTTCTTTGTTTTTCATTTATGCTGGATTGGTTGTTGGAACATATGTAATTATATCTTTAAAAAACAGCTTCCAAGTGGATCCCTGCAGCTCACTGGTTGGTATTTCTTGGGACTGATGACAATTTTAGCTATTTGGACTAGCAGTTACGCTAACTCTTTGTGTTTTGATTAAAATTTCAAGGTGATTAACCACTATATCAGTCCTGAAATGCAATTTTTGCTCATTTTCTGTGCCATATTTGAACTGTCTGCACGAGAATTTTAGCAAAATTTTAAAATAGAAATTATGTCTTTCTCTATCACAATATATACATATAAATTAACTCCAGACTCTTTACTTATGTTTTATTTTCTTAGTGATGTTTTGGTGTGAAGTATTTGAAACTTGAACTTGAAAAATTGAAGTGAAATTATCCACTTGTATTGATTTCAGTACTTTTGTTCATTCATGATGCTACCACTTTATTTACTTACAATAGTTTTCATTCCTGAAAGAGAAAACTCATTTTTGTATTAAACACTTAGTACCTATCTCTAGAAACAGACAGTGGCGAATCTACTTTGTATTTTCCAAAGTTATTTAACATAACTGAATATTTAATATAACTGTGATATTCAATAACTACTCTTGGTGCCTAGTTCCTTTTATTTAGTATAACACTTCTGAGTCTCGTCCATGTGGGAACATGTAACAGTTCTAATTTAATGGTGGAGTTTTATTGAACTGCTTGGATCTGGCATAGTTTTGTTGTTAATTTGGTAATACATACTTGGATTATTTCTGCCTTTTAGTTTTTGTGAGTAGGACCTTTCAATTTTTTTTATAAAGACATATATTTTTCTTGAATGATAAATCTACGTGTCCTATAGTAAATATTTTTGCTTTCCAAAAAATATAAACATAAAAATAAATAAATGATGTTTACTGAAGATTTACCATGAGTTCACTTGGTTCAATGCCTCCTATGGATTAGTTTGAATATTATTCATAACTGAGAAAATGTAAATTAGTAGCCAAACATCACAGAGCATGAAGCTGGTGCAGCTGGCGTCACCTTCCAGCCTGTGGCACTCCAGGTTTGCATTTTCTCTGGAGTTGCATGCCTCGTTGTGATGGAGATTCTGATGGGCTAGGTGGATGTGAACGAGGCACCATGCCAGGGAATCATATCATTGCCCCTGTAGGGTCTATGTCCTTGGACACGGGTGCCAACATGTTTGCCAAGAGCAGGTCTGGGTTTGCAGGCAGTTGAGACTGTTCAGCTATACTTAGGGCATTTAGGACTGAGTAAGACATCATGTGATTTGTTCTTGGAAGAGAGCTGTTATTTTTGCACCCTGACCTTGTGGATTTTAATTCTAATTAACCGTTCTGCAAAATCCGAGTAAGGATTTCTAAATTCCTGAGAGGAAAATTCTTTCCGTCCCTTTTAATGGCTGTATTTCCTCCCTCTTTCCAATGAGCTGTTACAAGACAGATCAAAATTATCGAGTTCCAAGAATTGTATTGCTGATCAGATGTGAGTGGGGCTCTGCAGCATCTGGAGTATCCTCATTACTTTTAATAGCTACTCTGTGGTTTTCATATGCAAATACCATGTAGATTTGCTAATAGGTGTTCACTTGTAAAGGGTGAGGATGAGGACAGCAAAGCCAATATCAAGCTATTAGTTTAATTTGTGTTTTCATAACTCTGTTATTATGCTTGAAGATATTTTTATATCTAGCTCTATGTCATGAATAGATGACAGGATATATATACATATATACATACATATGTATATTATATACATATTCTTTAATAAAAGCAGGGCTAGTGAGATGAATCAGCAGAAGGTATTTGAAGAACTGAGTTGTAACCCTGGAGCCCACATGGCAGAAGAAAAGAACTAAGTCCTCCAGGTTGTCCCCAGACCAGGTCAGGCACACATGCATACAGGGCCATACACACATACACACACACACACACATTAAATACATGAACAAACAAATAAATAAATGTTGAAAGTGCGTTGTCAAGGCCTGATAGCCTTTCTTCCACCTGAGGCATTGCTGAGGTCCCTGAGAATTTATTTGATTTTCTGAACTTCTCATTCCTAAGCTCTGCTTGGCTTTTTTCCAGGATCCCCATCTCTTTGCTGACTCACGCTGTCACGTCATCTTCCTCAGCTGTTTATATGTCACCTGTCTGAAGTCATTGATCACTTTGAAAAATCTGTCTTTTCAATTCTTTGGCATTTCACCTATTTCAATATCTTTGGACTCAATTACTGAAGAATGAAAAGCATTTGGAGCAGTCATGTGACCTTATTTTCCATATTCAGGGTTGAATTCCTTTTCAGTAGGTCGTATAGTTACAGACTGTGATTCATTCTTGAAGTGTATGTGTATTTGGACAGTTTTTATATTATATATTGAAAAAAATTAAAATCATATACTACTTAAGTATAGTAATGGGTTTCATTATAACATTTTTATACCTGTGTATCATTATTTTGATTGTGTTCACTCTCTACTACCCTTTCCTGCTCCATTCCTACTCTCATTGACCCCACTAGCTTTTCAACTACCCTTTCCTTTCCTGTGTGTGTGTGTGTGTGTGTGTGTGTGTGTGTGTGTGTGAATCAATGAGTTTAAAAGGGGTAACTAAAAGGAGCATGGGTGATGTGTTATTTACAGGATCATGGGTTAAGTCTGTCCAAGTTCTGAGACTCTATCTCCTCATCAGAAGGAGTATTTTTTCTTTAATGGCATTTATTGCCACTTTGACATTCCCTCCTCTGAAAAGGTAACTCCAAAATCATTTAGGAACCAGACTAGGGAGTGAAGACTGCAAACACTTCTGACATCTCCGGCCTCTGGCAAGGAATAAGCTGCCAAGAGGCCCAACGACATTTATGACTTAGCCGAGAAAGAAACTGGTTACTTTTCTTTGGAACAAGTTCCCTCTTGCCTAACCAACTTCTACAACCTGCTCTCCTCATGTCTTCCTCTGAATAAGTAGCCCTACCTGCTATCATGGAATTTTGGTGAAAATCAATCTGTCTTCTTAAAGCGAAGGAGGGTATTGGGTGTGGGAGTTGGGGGACCTCTTCAGTGGGCTTGTCTAAAAGACCTGAAAGTGTTATTACTGGATTTGTTTGTATAACTGCCAGCTGTAGAGAGGAAAGCAAGTCCTTCGCTGGTGCCGGGAAAGAGATGTGAGGGAGAAGAAGAGGCAAGAGTCAATGCACTACAAGTCCTAGGCAGGAAAGCAGAGGAAGCGCCAACAGGGTATTTGCTGAATGCCCAATCAGAGTCCACTGCTGGGTGCACCCAAGAGCAACATACACTGGGCTCCTCCTCCCTGCTTGTTTCCTCCAGTCTGGACTCATGAGTGAAAACCCAGTGTCCGATTAATGTACTTTGTTATCAGTTAGAGTTGTTCTCCTGTTTTAAAAAGATGGACAAGAGACACTTCCTAGTAAATAAGAAATTGAAAGTAAGTTTGTCTGTTGTATAGAGGTGGAAGCAACTAAAATTTCCCACAGTCACCATTAACATTTTGGCAGAATCCCTTAATTTATACTTGTCTCAGTTAAAGGTGTTTTTAGGAATAAATTATACAAGTAGGTCACCCGGGTCCTTCCGGTTGCTGTGTTCCCATTCTGGGTGCCTCCATTTACAGCAATGGGAGTTGGGGAATCATGAAGGTCTTAGGATGTGTTCTTTATATACAATCTTTGTTCTCTAGCTGATGAATACAAGAGAGGAATTTAACTGACTCCATCTTGGATGAATGAAAGAGAATGCCTTTTGAAGACATTACACTTCTTCTAGAAAATGAGGGCAGAAAACAATTAACTATACCCTTGCTATTGGAGCTTCCGTCCTGGTAGAAATCACAGCACAGTAAAATGACAAACATCTCTTCTAGAATTTGACCTGAAATTGTTTATGATAACTTTTTCTTTTATTTCTTAACTTATTCTACAAAAGTTACTGAAGATACATAGCTGAGGATATGAACATTTTACTGAAGGAGCAAAAGGCTGACATCTCTGGGCTGAACACTTGCTGTCTGTATTAGTGGCTTCTGTATTTCTCTTGAACTGGGTTAGGCTTGGTTGGGAGATTTCTTTTGTGCTTCTGAATCCTCCAACATGCCTGTTGACTGGCTGAGTGTTCCCTTACCAACCATCGCCTCAGTGTAATCAAGTGATTTGTTGCTGTTTGAGTCTTGGATGTCCATTCTCCAATCAATATGCCAAATTCTTGGTCCTCAAGGATGTTCTGAGTCTTAGGAGG